GATGCAGCCAGCTCTGGGGGGCAGCCCCCCATGCCTGGATCCACAGCCCAGCTGCCAGGGGGCCCTGACGCACAGTGGCTCCACTTTCCTCCAGCAGGGGGCAGCCCCTCGTTCCCAGGCCTGCCGGGCTGGCATCTCTGGCGCCCCGGTGTGGGCGGAGACGGGGCGAGGTGGGTGCCTAACGTTCATGCTGGCAGCCGCTTCAAAGTGGCCCTGCGGGAGCCTGGGGAACTCCCAGCTACTGGATGTGGGGCCAGATCATCTCCCAGGGCGGCTGGCTGCAACGTGTCCCATGGGGCCTCTTCTCCCCTATGGGTTCTGAGCCCCCTTGGTCAGGGGTCACCCCTTCGCCAGGGGTCACCCACCCTCGTTAGCCTGCGGGACTCTCTCTCACACGCCAAGGCCTTAATTAACCTGTAGGCCCCTGAGCGCCAGGCTCTGATCAAACCAGGACGGGGGAGGCTCTCCTGTGACCGGTCGTTAACCTGGGGAACTCGCTGCCACTAGCTGCAGCCTGTAATTAGAACCCTGCCAACATCTCCTTTCCAATTATAACAAGCTCTGCGCTGGTCTCCTGAGCCAGGTGGGGGCCTCGTTCGCCTGGGGAACTCCCTGCCACACAAGGACTGGTTCCCGGGGCAGCTCTCTCACGCTCGATTTCACCTGGGGAACTCTCTGCCCCATGATTCCCTGCCCTTCGTCAACAGGGCAGGACCGGCTGGGGCAGTGGGGGGCATTTCAGCCTGTGGGGGGGGCAGCTCAGTGAGAGGCCAGCGGTGGCTGCTGTGGGGGGGTTCGCAGGCATGAACAGCAGTGGAGCGGCCATCATTAGCTTTCAGAGTGAACGCTGTGTGACGAAGGGAGCCGGCAGCGGCTGGTTCACGCTCCCGGCAGACCCCGGCGCGGCTGGGCCGGGGGAAGTCTGGGCTGCCGTGATAAGGGCCCTGGTCCCTGACCCGGAGACGCCAAGCATGATGGCGCCCGCCCCCTCCCCCCCCCCCCCCCCGTCAGTTCCTGTCCCGGAGCGAGACGTGGACCCTGGCGGGGAGACGCCCTGAACCGATGGGCTCGGCCGTCTGGGTCCTGCTGGCCCTGCTGGCGCCCAGCCTGCTGCGGGGTGAGGGGCACCGGCAGGGCTCGGCTATCAGGGGCTGCAGGTCGGGAGTGAGGGGCACCGGCAGGGCTGGGCTGGCAGGGGGCTGTGGGTCGGGAGTGAGGGGCACCGGCAGGGCTGGGCTGGCAGGGGGCTGCGGGTCGGGAGTGAGGGGCACCGCTATCCCTCTTTTTCTCCCCGCTCCTCCAGGTTCCCCCCCCGCTGCTGGAGGTGCGGGAGGCCGGGGGTCAGATCCTGCTGCTCTGTGGGGCCCGGGGCCCCCGGCTGCGCTGGGTCTGGTCCCCCCGATACCCCAAATGCGCCGGCAACCCCGGAGACCTGCTCGAAATCGCCCGGCTGCCCCCGGGGCCGGAGCCCCCCCCAGCCCAGTTCAGGGGGCGCCTGGACCCCCAGTCCTCCAGCCTGGGGGCCCTGCTGCTCCGGGACCTGGTCATGAGAGACTCGGGGACCTTCACCTGCCTCGGGAAGTCTGGGGCCGAGCCCCCCATCCGGCTGGAGGTGACAGGAGGTAAGGCCAGACCCCCCAGCCCGCACTGGGGTCACCGGGCGCTCCCCAGCCAGACCCCCGCCCCGGTCACCACAGCGTCCCCTGCTGACCCCCTCTGCCCCCACAGGCTGTCGGAACAACCTTACTGTCTCCTCCAACCGGACGTCCCCCTCGGCCCTGACCCTCCACTGCCAGCGCTGCCCCCTGCTGGCTGGCTCGGCCTCCTTCCGCTGGTTCCTCAACTCCCAGCCCCTGGGCAACCTGCGCTGGGCTACCAAGGGGGAGCAGGGGGCTACGGTGCGACTGGACCCGTCCCGGCGCTGGGCCTGGGGGCACTGGGAATGCCGCCTCCTCGGTGTCTCCTCTGGGGGCTTTGAGTTGTGTGTGGAGCCCCCCCTCGGGGCAGGGGGCGCAGGTAAGATTGTGCCCTGCACCACCACCCCCACGGTGCCCCCTGCTGGCCCTGACCCTACCTCTGTTCCAGGCCCCAGCTCTGAGTGTTGGATATGCGTTACGGCACCAATGGCGGTTCTGGGTCTGATCGGCGCAGGGCTGGGTGCTTGGCACCTGTGGAGACGGGGCAGGTGAGTTGGGGACCCGGAGTCCGGGGAGTGGCACCCCCAGCAGGGGATGGAGAGGGAAGAGAGAGAGAGGGACCCAGGAGTCCGGGGAGCAGAGCCCCAGCCCCGGGTGGCGTGGTAGAGGGAGAGACCCAGGAGCCTGGGGAGTGGTAGCCCCACAGGGTGGGGGAAGGGACCCAGGAGTCCGTGGATGGGGAGAAACGTGTTTTCATCATGTATCTTTGCCATTTTCTTCCTTCAGGAACCAACGGAATCAAAACAAATGAGAGAACGAAACAGGTGAGAGAGAAATAAAAACAACCCCCAGCCGCAGGCCTGTTACCCCGGTATCCCACCGTTCCCACCATAGGTCAGAGCCATAGGCCCAGCTACCCCGGTATCCCACCGCTCCCACCATAGGTCAGATGCATGGGCCCAGCTACCCAGGTATCCCACAGTTACCATCATAGGTCTAAGCCATGGGCCCAGCTACCCTGGTATCCTGCCTCCCCAGCTGAGTGCAGAGTGGATCCAAGATCTCCTGCCTGAGTAGCCGGGTCCGTAACCTTCCCAGCCATGTTCAGTCTGTAAGAATCCAGTGGTGGGTAGTTCCACAGGTCAACCGGCTCCTTGGTTACATTTCCCCCCCCCCCCCACACTATCCCATCCCTGCTTTCCTCTTGATTTTCTCCTTCTCTCCATCCTGTGCCAAGGAGCCCCTGGGCCCCGTTTATCCCCCTTGGAAGAGCTGCAGCTTGGAGCCAAATCGACCGAAAAACGCCTTGTGCCCCAGAGTTGGGAAAGAAAAGTGAGAGAGTGAGGGGCACCGGCAGAGCTGGGGGGCAGGAGGTAGCAGGGGGAAATCTCTGTAACTTATTGCCCCTTCTCTCCCCAGGTCCCAGGCACCCTGCTTTATGCTGAAGTCCAGCACCCACTGGTGGCTCGAGCCCCAGCCCCCCCCCCCCCCGGCACCACGGTCTATGCCACTATTGTCTGACCCCCACCCGCCCCGGCTCCGCTTCCCCCTCCTGTCCACCCCCTTCATGAGTTGCATTCACACCCTGGCTCCCATTGCAGGTGATGGGAAATTCAGCTGGAAGATGCAAGACATCTCTGTTAGAATCTTGTGGTGGGGAGTTCCACAGGTTAACGGATTGTGGCATTAAAATCTGCCCTTGAAACCCTCGTGTCTGTGATGTGTCACCTTTGTCCTCAAGACCCCACCCTTTGGGCCTGCCTCTGGGGGGTGGGGTTCAGGCAGACGCGGCGCCACTTTATTTCCTGCCCCAAACGTCTGTGAAGAGCCACCCAGCTGCCCTGCCCCAGAGTTAGCTGCATCTCAGCACCGGGCAAAGGATCCCTGTATAACCAGTCCTGTGCCCCAGAGTTAGCTGCATCTCTGCACTGGCCTAGGAGTCCCTGAATAACCAGCCCCCTGCGCCCCACCCCAGAGGTGGCTGCATCTCCGCTCCTGGCGAGGGACAGCTGAGAATGAGGAGAATTCACGCTGAGCCACCCGCCTCCGTGGGCGGGATTTGAACCCGCGACCCCCAGCTTCGCGCCCTGCCGGTTAAGTTATCCTGCGCCTGCAGCACCAGGACAAACCACTAGGTGGGGAAAAAACTAAGCAAGTGGGTAAAGCCAG